TAATTAATTTAAAATTTTTAAATATTCCTTAAAATATTAAAATTTCATCACATTTTTTAATATTCTTATGAATAACATTCTAATAATCACATTTTCAGAAATGTCATTCCCAAAAAAGTAGTAATATACCTGGAATCGAACGCTCCTAAAAGTTTTAAAAAGAATTTATTTTTATTTTTTATTGCACAATCTATTTACTTTATATCTTCTTATATTTTTTTTGTCCTTAATTTATAACTATTATAAAAGGAATACCTTTTGTTACTACTTCTTTAGCCTAAATTTTTGTTAAAGACAATTATATCCTCAAACAATTATAAAAAAAAAAATTTATTTATTTATTTTATTTTTTAATAGAGGTACAAAGTGTTTCTTATCTAATTAGTGTTTTATATAAAAATAATAATAAACAAGTATTTTACGTGTATTCAAAATGTTTTTTCATGCATGATATATCCATCTTGGTATACATACTTCAGCAGCAGCACCGACTCTGAATCATGTTATGGGTACAGTCACACATTGCTGGTGAGACCAATTAATGGAGGTAGCACAGTGAGTGGCACAAAAATAATTTGATTTTATAAATGACATTTCAAACTTGAAAACACTTGTTCTTGTCTCTATATGTTTCCTGGCCAATTTACGATTCCTGCCAAATCGGCTTGTGTTGAACAAGCGTTAAATTTGCGTTCATCTATTCTTAAAACAGACTCAAACCTTGAGTTATTATGATATCATGCTCTTTTGTTAGATCTAATCTCCATTGTTAAAATTATACATTTATAGACAATATATGACCAGCAACAAAGTTAAAAAAATAGGACTTTATGATTATCCAAATCAATCCTTATAGTTCAAATGGAGAACTAATCAAAATATTAAGATTTAAAAGTATCTTTCTTCTTAGAGTAAGGTTATATTCTTTTATGAAATTTTAATGTCATTTTATAGAAAAATAAATATTAAACAATTTTTTTTATATAAAATTATGTTTAGAAAAATTACAATAAAAGTATTTTTAATTTAAATTATAGACAATTATGAGTGAAAAAACTCGCTCTTATATTTAATTACATACTTGTGACTCAAACTCAAGATTATTAGTTAAATAAAAACTCACCTAGTTAATTTATGTCTTTAGTGGTATATGCTATCTTATTTATTTGTCTTTGAAAAAAATGTTTTTTTTTTTAACTTTAAAGTAACATTAATTATTATCTTTTTAATTGTAATTTTATATTTATTGAATTTTAAAATATTTTACACATTTATTAAAAATAATATCTTTTTAATGTTACATAACATTGTAAGTTTTTAATTTTTTTCTTTTAATAATAATTATTTACCTATATGATGTTTAAGATGTTTTGTGGGGCTCTAAGAGTTGAGGGACTCTTAGGAGTTTGATTAGTTTTGAGGGTTTTTGGTCAGAGGTCTAGTTAACCTTGAGGGAAGGAAGTATAAGGTTTCTGTTGAGAATTGAGCCTCACAAGTTCATCTTCTCCAGATTCTGTAGAGATAATTAGAGATATGTGTTCTAGGTCTGTGGATTTTCTTCTTCTCTAAATTAACTTTCTCTCAATTGGACAATTCTTTCCCCGAAATCACTGATGTGCTTGTGTACTTTGATTTAGGTCCCTAGTGAGCTAAATCAGAGTGTTTGGTGCAAAGTTCTTGTTCTCGAAGCTCAAAGTAGTGTCTTTCCTTCTTCCTTACTCTTTTTCTAGATTTTCAAGTTCTAGAAGTAAAGGAAACTAGGAGTTTTTTGGATGATTTTGACTGAATTGTATGTTGATTGATATCATCAATTGTTTCCATTTTGAATAGATTTGGATTGAATGTTTTGTTGGATGGGTTTTGATGTAAAAGTGGAAAAATGGTGAATTATCATTTTGGGTGGTTGCATGTGTCTTTTGGACTTGGATGGGTTGTTTGAAGTAACTATATACTTGTTTATATGTTGCATGTTAGAGATTCTTGTGTTTCAGGTGGATTGAGACAATTTTCAAAGTTTGCATTAGTTGATTTCTAATGTCGCACCGGGTGCACCTTTGTGGTGATGGGCGTAGTTCCAATCAAATACCTTTGTCTCGTTCGCACCGAGTGTAGGATCAATGACATCGAGCGTAATGAGAGAGAGTCGTCTTGGGTTGGGATGGCGCCAAGCATGATTTGAATAGCGTTGAGTGTGAAAACACTAAAAATTCTCTGACTTGGTGATGTTGGGCCTAATTAGGTAGCGCCAAGTATGATCAAGGTGAAGACTCTTTGCCTATATGACGTTAGGCACCAGTGAGGTGATGTCGAGTGTAAGTCAAGTAGAGACTTTTTACCTAATATGAGGTCGAACATAGATTTTGCCACACTAGGCATGAGGTCCCAAGAGTTTCCTACCTCAGTAATGTCGAGCGCACATTAAGTGGTTTCAAACATGGACTAAGTAGAAAGCTTCCTACTTCAATGACTCTAGACACAGGTTATGTTGTTAATACATGTTGTTTGATGGATGTTTTGGTGAACATGAATAGAGTATGTAAGTCTATTGTATGTTGCATGATTGTATGAGGGCGACAAGCATTGATATGCTATGTATGATTGATATGCTACAATTGCATGGTTATGGTGTTGAATAAGCATTGGCATGCTATACTTATGAAATTGAAATGATGATGAATATTGATATGCTATGTATGATTGATATGCTATAAATTGCATAGTTGGAGTGTTAAATAGGCATTGACATGCTATTATTGAATAAGTCATTGAGCATTGATGTGTTAGTCTTGAATGAGGTGTATAACATTTGTATGCTAATTATGATTGGTGTAATTTGATCTCTATATGCATTGACCTTGGATAATGTATATGGATGATGTATGTTAAGGCGTTGATGTTGAAAATGTTGTAGGTATTAATTAAAGTATGTTGATTGACTTAGGACTAGAAGAGAAGATGTTGTTTAAAAGTTGAAGATTTAATATAGGAAATCTTGTTTTGGCCATTTGGAAGGCCAATTATTGAAAATCCTCCTTGAGTAGGTGTGAAACTCTTGGAGTGAATTTGTTAAGTTTCTTTTAGATCATTAGCCAATGTGAAATAAAGTATGAAGTCAAGGATTATAACCTTTAATTGATTACTAGAAATGTTACATGGTTTCTTGCAGATAGTTTGTGGGCTAACTCTATATATGACTTGTTAATGCATGTCAAGGTCGTGATACACCTATACTCAACTATACTATTATTGACAGTGGAATTGGGTTTTCCTAGTATAGGTGACGACACCCAAGAAATTAAAGGTAGGGATTAATATCCCATTTTAGTTGTCAATCCAGCGAGCGCATTGAGCATGAAAGTGATCGAGTTGATTCGGTAGGGTCAATTCACTTAGACTACTCAAGTGTATTAGACCTTCGTAGGTAGATGTGTGATGACACATTAGTTGTGGTGTGTGCATGTGATGTCTTGTGAGTTGATTGTTGTTCATATGCATCGGATGAATACCTTATTGTATGGTATGATTGTGATGAATGTGTTGAATTGTTTGGGTGCTTAGCTTTTAAACATGTTGATTGTTGTATGTTGTAAACCATGTGGTGTGTTTTGGTTGATTTACATGTTGGTGAGTAATATAGATGTTCTTTTCTATACTTGTATGTTTTTGAAATCTAGTTTATCCTTACATGTTTTCCATGTGGTTTGGACCGCGATAATCATGAGAGCAAGACAGGATTAGTTGAAGAGGACTGTTGGAGCTATTTTGGGGGCATGTTGTTGGTGATGTAGTTAATGACTACTTTTATTGGTTTGTATAGACGTTGTTTGATCGATAACTTAGAGTTTTATACTCTATACTTGTCGAATTACAATACATATAATTGTATAATTGTTTTAGTTATATCCACATATATAGCTACTGTAGTATACATATCCTAATATTGTGAGTATATAATCTTAAGTAGTAATTATATTTTCACTGCTAGAAGTAGTTAATCTATAAGTATGATGATATGACAAGTTGTTACATGTAATATTTTAAAATATTTTAAAAAAAACATTGTTTAGAATAAAAAATTATACTTTTTTTTTCATTTAATAACTTGGATGGTTGATAACAATATAGACTTCAGGAATAGGAGGATTTAAAATCAAGAAATGCTCTACCTTTGAGTTTCTTTTCTCCTTAAGAAACTAATGCTTTGATTGGAATAGTAGATAATGTTATTAGTATGTTTTTTTAGAACCATCTTTTTCAAGTTTCCTGATTCTTTGTATTTTTTTTTATTTATCTTTTATATTTATGTGAATCTTATTGCCATGCTTTTAAAATTATATATTTTATTACTTTATTGATTAATTGTTTGATGTCATTAGTTAATCACTAATGTAATATATTATCTACTTATATTACTATTTTTTTTTATCAATAAGGTGAGATATTAATTGTTGACATATCAAATTTTATTATATCATTATATGTTTGACATGTAAGCAATTCATACTAATGATTAATATGTCACATCATCAATTAATTAGTAATATTTAATAATTAACTAATAAAATGATAAAATATACACAACTTTATAACTTAAGTGGTAAAATATATAATTCTGAAAGTTAAATGATAAAAATTTTGAAAATGTAAAAAATAAACGGCAACAAAGTTCAATTAAAACTTTCTTTTTTCCGTGCTGCCCCGTCAAGGTGTTCGAGAAAATCCAAATTGAACAAAATGGAAGAAAAACTTTCTGCAGCAACAGGATGGTGCGTTGGGAGAGAAAAAAATTCATGAATTTTTGGAACTCACCTAACAAGGGAAATGCACAAAACACATGCTTCTTTCTCTCCTATACTACAACTTCTGGGTGCTATAGGCATATCAAATTAAAACAGGCCGACCCACACCGATAAATTAGAAAATATGGTAATTAGCACTTGCATTGTAAAAACAAGCTAATAAGACTGGATCACAATCCAGTACAAAGCAGAGACTAATCCTCACTTGAAAGGTTCATTTTATAAAGTTGAATTAAACGATGCTATACTGAACCATGTTTTATAAACTAACTACTGAGGTAAGTTGGGCTGATAAATATATACAGGTATGCTTAAAATTGTATAATGAGTATTGGCATATTTTGAGTGCTTTAATTGTCAGCACACCCTTTTCAGCCATCTATCTTGATTCTTGGGTATCTTCTATCTTTTTCTCGAGTTAATTTTTTACAGGAAGAAATATGACAAAGCTAAAAACAATCAAGCTATAAGCGCCTATGTATCAATATAAAATGAAAAATAATTTACAGCAGCATTGAAAAGGATCATGCCCAAATTGCGAGTGTAGACATCAATCCGGCCCCAAGGAAAAGCAAACAGTAACACATTATCTGCAGCCTAAAGTTGGAATGCATTTTCTTGCTAAGAAAATCTGCAGCTATTAAGTCCACCAAAGCCATATACACTAAAATCCCAGCAGAGATGGAGTCCAAGATGCCTTCAGTGATGAGTGCTCCTGGACTGTAAGGGTTGAAAATTGAAGCAATAGCAGCCCCAATAGCAACACCAATTGGTGTTGTTAGTGCAAAAAAACATGACATTATTGTTGCTGATAGGGTCTTGAATTGGGCTTGGGAGATGCAACCACCAAGTGCAAATCCTTCAAAAAACTGATGGAAGGATAATGCCACAATTAGGGGTCTCATGGTACAAGGGCTTTGCGAAACTCCCAGAGATAACCCAATTATCATTGAATGTGATACAATCCCTAGTTCCAATACCTACATATAATACAAGTCGGATATCAGAAAATGACATAATTTGTTACTTGTCAATTATTATTAATCAACAAAAACTTTAAGCAATCTTCATGCATATCATACTAGCAGACGGGTTCAATACTAAAAGATGATGTCAACAATAAAGTTAATTTCATGATAGCCTATTCTATTAAACTGGGTGGGCATTATATTGAGCATCTTGAAAGCTGAACTTTGGACTACTTGACATGGGTTGAAGATTGCCTGGGAACTTGGAATTTGAACCATCCATATGTAATCAGACTCACTATGCAATTAATTTTCTGAAATATTGTTATCTAAATTTTTAAATAATAAAAAATAATATTAGAGGTTACTTTGATTCTTATCACTTAAATAAGTTAACAATTCATAATTACTCAAATTCTCAAATTGTTAATTACTTATTTTATTATTTAATTTTAATTTATTTTATTTTATTTTAAATTGTTAAAATAAAATATAATGACACAAAATGCTTTAACCCATTAGTGGAAATAAAGTAGAACCACATCAAAAGAATTAGGTCGATCCAAGCTTAAGGCCCAAATAAGTTGTTTCTTAATTATTGATGCAAGGCCTCTAATTCTTTTGCTGTTCTTTTCAATCATTTAAAAATCAATTAGTTAGTAATTTTAATTAAAAAAATATCTCTAAATATATCAATTTTCACTAAAATTAAAGTAATATGACAAATTTTACTATTTTTTCATATTCTTAAATTTATACGGTCTCATTTTAAAAATAATTTTAGGCCTAAAAGTATGTTAGGCTGAACTAACTTCCATGAAATTAATCAAATAGCTGAGTTACTTGCTAAGTTTAGCATTAGTTCTGATGTAGATGTGAGAATTTTTTACCATCCTCCAGATTATATACTATTAGGTTATAACTCACTTCTCCCCCAACCACACACATACACAAAATGTTAACAGTATACTAGTATTCTATAATAATTTTTTAAAAATTTAAAATACATTACAATTTAATAATAAAGAGTGTTAGAGAATATGAAACCACACACACAAAATGATAACAGTATACTACTATTCTATAACACATTTTTTTTTAAAAATTTCTAATAAATTTTAATTAATAATAAAGAGTGTTTGAGAATATGTAACTAACATTTTTTTTAAAAAAATACATGATCATTTTATTATAAACTGTCATGTTTTTTTTGGTTCGTTCCTGGAGTATCCACCGCCGATAACAGTGACTAATCTCCTCGCTACGTTAGAGGCATCTCAAAGGGTGGGATAGCTGGTCCCAAGATTTATCGCAACTGCATACACAAGACACGATTCGAACCCCTGACCTTGCTTAAGCGTGGATAAACTGTCATGTTTGATAATTGATAAAATTATTGATTTTTTTAATAATTACTTTGTAAATCATATTTACAATAAATTTTAGAGTTGACCATTGTAAAAAACTTTAATATGCATGTTAAGAAGATTAAACTCAAAAGAAAACTGATCTTTCCAACTTTTTTTTTATACATGCACCTTGAGAAGGGAGAGAAAAAAAAATGACATGCACAAACGGTAATACAATGTGAAATAAATAAGATAAAGAAAAGTATTAATAATTAAATAACCGTAACAATTAAGGTATGATAAAAATTTTGTATCATGCTAAAGATATGTGCACAAAGTGCAAATTATAAAGGCAAGCAGTTTTAAAATACTAATAATAAAACGGAGTTAAAAAATTAAAATGCAATAGTGCGTTTTCAAAACTTCAAACAAAGTTAGTTCAGTTCAACTTTAATAGATTCTGATGGACAGGTCAACTTCTTTTTGTTTTTTAGATGAAGCTAGTCCATCCATTGTTTTCAAAAGGCAAACAAAAATTGATGGACACACTTTAGCACTCGATCCATTTCAAGACCAAGCAACCGAAAATGATGCTTGCACGTAATGGCCAATGAATATTTATTTATTTATTTATTTTTTATTTTATTCTACTGTCTTTTTTTGATTCTAAGAACTCTAAATAATTGGTGACCAAGCAACCTAACAGTAACACTGTGGTTGGATATTTTAATTTTCATAATTAATTTTGATTAAAGTTAAATTGGACGCAAATTAAGTAAGTTACTGTTAAAACTTTTATTTCAGAAAAAAAGCTCATAGTAAAACTTACTTTATTTTTGTACAGAATGTGTTCATTTTACTGTGAAGAAAGTTTAGCGGCCGAAGAGGGAGTAATGCTTGTTTTGCTCAAAACGAAATTCCTGTATGAAAACAAAATTTTCATGTATAATGACTATTTGTTTAAAACTTTTTAATTTTTAATAAACTAATCAGTTTTCAATTTTTTTAATGTGTTTGTCTAAACAATTTTTTTTTTATAAGAAACAATGAATATCTACTTCTTAAAAATTTATACTTTATAATCACATTTTTAAAATTTAAACAAATAGACCCTGCCATTTATTTTCCACCCCTTTTCAAACGTTATTCAAGGCAAAATCAATTTATAATTATAACACTGAATGGAACAATACATAAACAGCTTGAATATTTTTTCAATAAGTAGTGCAAGTAACACTCACTTTTTACCACATATTTTCATCATTAGTTAAAGTTTATTTATAACTACAAAATTATGAATGGAACTTTTTGATTTTGACAATTACCTCTGACACAATTTTAAATATTTATTAAAAATCACAAATCTTAGTGTCTTAAACATTTTTCTAAAAGAGAAATAACATTTACCAAATTTTAAAAGAAAAGTATTTTAAAAAATGATTGCATTAGAAGATGACCAACCAAATCAAACAAATCTTAGTCACCAAGCAAAAAAGGCGTTAAATATTTTGCATATATAATATATCTATAAAAAAAATTCTAAAAGTTTTTTTTTTTTTTTTTTAACGATCCCCTAACTTAACTTTATTTGCAAGGTGTGGCAGTAAGGGAGGAATGGTTACCTGCGAAACGACGACGTGGCGCAGGGTAGTTTGAACGTCATGAGGATGCGGTTGCGGCGCGTGAACAAGCTCCACTATTCCCGTTTCCAACAACAACGCCTCGTTCTCTTGGACAAAATCCTTTATCTTCCCACGCTCCTCTCTGCGCTGGTAGTAGCCAGTGGCCAAAAAGTCAAAGAGCAGGGTCAACAGCGCCGAAACCATGGCGAAGAAGCCCGTGAAGGGAAACTTGTTCCAGTTCCCCCCCAAGCACGGGTCCGAAAGCGCCTCCCACGAGTCCCGAAGCATGTGCACGAACCCCGTCGCTAAAATCACCCCCGCCGCCAACGCCTTCGCCGCCATAAACGCCTCCCCCTCCCTCCGCCATTTTCCCGCCAGCGGGATCGCGATTCCCCCCAGCCCCGCCGCCAGAATCGACGCCATCGCCACCAACTTCAAAATCAAGGCCTCCGACTCGTCGCGGCATTGCTCTAATTCGCTTCTCTTGCACCTCGCACTCGTTACGGAGTCTGTTTCCAGGAGTGGATAATTAGGTTTTTTAATATCAACATGTATGAATTAATTAAGGTGTTTGAAATTAAAGTAGAATAAATTGAAGGTTATTAATTAGGGCGTAAATTAAGGATTGAAGATTGAGATAAGTAGGAAAGTGAGTACCTGAGAAGACATAATAGAGCGAGGAGAGATCCTGAGAAGGAAGAAGAAGAGAATCGTAATCGTAATCGTAATGGTAGATGGAAAGAGAATATAGAGAAGGAGAAGAAACGTAACCTACCTGAGTTAGAAACATGGGGAAGATCGTCGTTGGGACTTAGGAAGGAATGGAAACGGAGATCGGAAAGTGGACTTTCATTCCAATGCAATTTCACACTCACACGCTTATGCAAGCTCACGGTTCGAATCCAGTACATCTATTCGCGTTAAATCTTAGAACTAACTATCTCACTTTTTAAGGTGCCTCTGACATAACGAAGAGATTAGTTATTACTATTACAAACTAAAAAAAAATAAAAATTATAAAACTAATTTTTAGGCATGTTAATTTATTATTTATTAATTAATTTTTTTTATTTCAATTATATTAATTAGTATTCAACAAACTCTTATTTATCCATTCTTATCTCCACTTTCTACATTCAATTTTCACGATATTTTCGCACAATCAAACTCAGTATTAATTGTTTTTTTAATATCTTTTATTTGATTTCTATGACGTCAATTCTAGACTTTGGTGGATAGGTAAAATATTTTATTCAACTTGTATGAAAGCGATGTTGAATTTCTTATGCACAATTTTAATTTCTTTGATGAGATCTAACCCATCAACTCAAGCACTAACCGAAAATAATCCTTTTATAATATGTCAGACTCGCAGACTGTGCCTCTAATCCACCGTTTTTGGCTTCCCGGTTGAAAATTGAAATGGACCCGAATTTTGTGGGTACTTGTAGGTATATCTCACAACCTTTTTTAAGGAACAGGAAATGTTTCACCCAAATCTTTAATGAAGTAAATTATTTAAAAAATTAAATTTTTTTAAGAAAAAATATTTTATTTGGACGAAAAATTTATAGAAAATTTAAAATTCAAGTTTTTAAAATAATAAAATTTTAAATTCTCTCTAAAAATAAAAATTTAAAATTCTTTCGTACTTTTTTTCTTATTTTACTTTTATATTTTATCTTATATCTTATTTTTTATGTTTTTAATTATTAGAACCAT